AGAGAGAAAAGGAGAAGCAGCAAAAGGTGAAGCAATGATCTCGAGATGCACGCTCATATGTATGCGTCGGACGACTACGAGGTAGGAGTAAGGGAAGGTAGTCAAGGCTAGGTGGCTAAAGGTAAATGGAGGCTCCAAGAAACACATAAGTGTACAAACCCGAACGAGACAACCAGGTACAGACTTGGCACAACCACGGTGTTGGATCCTCCCAGGAAAGCCGCACTACTCCATACCACTACTACCACCTCTGGGCTCTTGGCCCGGCCTATTCTCTCCCCCTCGGTCTCTGCCTCTGTCCATCTCGCCCATGCTACCCTGCTCGGTTGCTCTAACCTCCCCCCTCGAGCCGTGATGGCTGTGTGGGGTCCCCGCAATCGCGGAGACCCGGCCGCTGTGGATTTGTTAACCCAATGGACTACGTAGATTAAGTGTAGTGGATAGCATTCTGAAGCCGTGAGAGAAGGTTTGCATATGCTCGCTGGTGGATATGTTTATCCGTCGAAATTTTGACGGATTTCCAAACACGCGCCAAAGACCAAAGGGGATGGAACCACTTTTAGTCAAATGTTGCTGGCATTTGTCATGTAAGAATATGGACATGACGGATTTGTACCCACTTTGCGTTGAGCTTTCCTCGTGGCTGTTCTCTAGCCCGACGGACTTGTCTCAAGTTCTCGTAGCTTGTCGTTCTAAACCCCAGTCATCTTGAGAAACAAAATGATGAATGATTTCAACATGACCTAGGTTATCGGTTATTGTCAAGTCACACGGTGACATGATGGCATCCGTGCGGTTCCGACAGAGAGGAACAAGCTAACGGACTTGTCAACCATCGGTCCACGTCAATCTCGAGCTGATGTGTCTCTCGAAAAGCTTCGCCCGGTCTAACAAAGACATAGATCCAAGTCAGAACTGACAACTATCCGGCAGTTGGAGGCTGCGGAGAATAAACCCAGCCAACCAGCCACCGCGATGGGCATGCTTAATCCCCAAATCCCCCGAAGTCGATCCCTCTGGGCGCAACCCCCTCCTCTCCCCTCCCCGACTCAAATCCTCCCGTCTTCTCCCGCGATAAACACACCCTCGTGCGGGGAAAGTGTGGTGCGGGGGATGACGGACTTTGGAGATCGTCGACCGGGCGCTGACAGTCGCGTTGTCTTCGTGGGTTCACGCCATGTGGATTCGTACAGTCAAGATAATGCTCGCGAAGGAAAAGAGCAAGTCGTAGCGGATTAACAATTTCGTTAGAGATTCATATACTTCGTCGGAATTAAATACATGCATTACAGCATTACGTTCTTTCGTCCATCATTTTCATAGCCAATGTGTCTCTTCTCGCTAGGCACTCGGTGCGTCATCACACGGCACCACACCAGCAAGAGACAATAGCAATACCCTCCACAATCAGCACTCTACACCTGCACATCCTTCTCAGAGTGCGAGACGCGAATCTGCTGGTGATAGTTATTCATCGCCTTCTCGTCAACGGCGCCCTCCTCAAACACGTCAACAGTGGTACCCTCGAACTTGCGCGCGGCAACCTTGTGCTCAAACAGCTTGTCCAGCTCGGCGTAGGTGCGGCCGCGGGGCTCGGGGACGCGGAAGTAGGTGTACACGCAGCAGAGGAAGCAGATGCCGCCCCAGAAGAAGCCAGTGTAGTTTTGCCAGTTCCAGGCGCTGGGGTTGAGCATGTACGGCGTGAGGACGTTGTTGATGATTCCGACAATGTTGCTGTGGGGACAGTGTGGTTAGCATGGGTTCGATTTTCAGACCGGAAAGTGCATCGGGAACTTACTAGAGGTTACGGCCAAGGACGACAGTCTTGATCTGCAGACGACGCGACGGCAATTCACTGACGAGCGAGTAGCAAACGGTGCCGACGGTGAGCTGGTAGAAGAGAGCCCAGACCATCATGATGGAGCCCGTCGCGAGCGCGCCCTGGTCGCGGTGTTCGGCCGGTACGAGGCCCAGGAAGCCGAGAATCATGAGCATGCTGCAAAGACCGCAGAGACCGTAGAGGTACAGCGTGCGACGGCCGATACCCCACGACATGAGGAACCACGCGCCAAAGACACCGACCATGTTGATGGCGTACTGGCCGAGCGCAAAGTTGTACGAGTTTCTGGTGGAGAGACCGGCCTGCTTGAGGAAGTATCTGCGTGCATCGTAATGTTAGTCTGGTACAACTAGAACTCAAGCAATAAGAGTGCACAAAGGCAGAGACTTACGTAGAGTAGTTGGAGAACGAGTTGCCGCTGAGGTTCTGAATGGCCCAAACCATGCACACAATCTCGGTGCGGCGCAGGTCGACGCCCTTGAAGCAGTCCAGGTAGGATGCGCCCTCGGTAATCTTCTCCTCGATCGAGTTGGTGTGCACCATCATGGCGACCGTCTCGTCGGCGTCGAAATCAGTCTCCTTGTCTCTGCTCGTCAGGCGCAGCAGCGACTTCTTGGCCTCGTCAATCTTGCCCTTGCGCACCAGCCACCAGGGCGACTCGGGCGCAAAGTAGATACCAATGGCCAAAGGCACCGGCCACATCCACTGCAGCGCGTAGGGAATGCGGTATGCCCACTCGTCCTGGCGGTCGAGCATAGAGACGATGACGCCGATACCAATCTCCTGGCCCATACCCCAGCAAAAGTTGACATAGGTCGTCAGGTAGCCACGCAGGGCGACGGGGCAGACTTCGGAGGCATAGGTGATGCACAGCGTCTGGAAGACACCCCATGGGATACCGCAGAGGATCTCGGCGGCGAGCAGAGTCTGAACGTTTTGTGCGGTGAAGAAGATTGTGGTGAAGGCGGCGACTAGCAAAAGACATGTGATGACGGTCCACCTGTAGCCGAAGCGTTCCGAGACCCATCCGTTGATGAAGAGACCGATGATCTCGCCGACGGTGGCACCGTTGCTGAGGCCGGCTTGCCACGGCGCAGGGACCTGGTAGGATCCGTCGGCGGTGAGGACGCCGTACTTTTGGTTAAATTGCGGGAATGCGTAAAAGTTGCTGACGAGACTGATGTCGTAGCCCTCCATGGCGATGCAGGTGGAAATGAGCACACTCCATGCAATGGCCTTGGGGTAGAGCTTAATGCCCTGCATCAGAGTCATCTTGTGCTCCTTGTCCGTGGCCGCTTTGGCGTTCTGGACAAAGTTGCTGGCGAGTTTGGCCGAGTGATGATCGCCGATCTCGGCCGAGACGCGGTCTGGGGCGGCGACCACATCATCGTGCGCCGATTTGGACTCCATCGTGGATGGGCTTTGGAGGAAGGGTTGCGTTGCGTGGCGTGGTGGAGGTGTTGTTGTTATTGATGACTGTTCTCAAGGAGAAACTGAATTCTCTCGAGGTTCTACGGCGATGCACACACTATCGCGTGCTGCAATGGGGAGATTGCGCGCACAACGTGGAGATCGTTGAAGCGTTGCCAAGGCTGGCGTTGAGCAGATGTGGTGAAGAAAAAGAGCTCTGAGAAAGCGGCTGCGCTGGGAGATGCTGCTTGCTGAAGAGGAGATCGTCAAGAGGTGGAGATTGAGGGGGGAATCGCCGGATGTTATATAACAACAAAATATTCGCGCGCGACGGGAACGAACGGTCCTGGATTGTGTGGGACGATGGCTACGGGCCTACGGCTTCGATGGGAAAACCCACAAAAGAAAGGGCTCGAATTTTTTGACGAAGTGCGAAAGACTGGGGCCGGGACATTGAACTCGTCTGGTTGTTTGATTTGATTTGTTCCGTTCGGTATCGCGCGTCCTCTTTTTTTGTGGTCAAATAAACAAGGGCAATCTTCCGATAGACCAGTCGTCAGCTATTGGAAGGATGAGGAGAATCCTGTGCCGAGAAGACCAGGGGACTGGTCAAAGTTACCGAAGCCGTCGCAATTCGCAAGGGGCCTTTGAAGTCTTTGGCTTCTTGGAGACATGGAAGAGCAGAAAAGGGAGCTAGCCATTGGGCAGATTGGTTCTCGTCGGCGAGGGGTACCCGTTCATCTTTTGATGGCAGATGCTGGGGTAATTTGGGACTTGGGCGAGATAAGGTAAAGCGACGTGACATTTCTGTCGTCGGGGTGCCGCCCAAGGGGGGTTGGCGTGTTTCTCTGTGTCATGACAGGGTGCGTTCGACATCTGCCAGGCCGTCAGGTTGGGACGGAGATGGGAACCCTTTGCTGCCATTGAGTTTGTCTGGGCCAACTCTAGCGTGCGGGGGAAGTTTGAGCGTCGCCATGTTGGTGGTGTCGAAATGGTCAGCTGAGCGGCCGTTGAATCGTTGGTTGCGTGCAGACCCAAGCCATCGGGAAGAAGTCCATGGCTGCTGCAGCAAGGGAGGGCGGGGAAGAAAAGTCCAGGTTCAGCTTTCGGGTCAGTGAGTACGGCGTAGTGAGGGTGAGAAACAAAGATAGAGTTGGCGCCGGTAATGTGGGAGGGAAGGGCGGACGAATGAAAAGAAAACTATTGAGAAACTCGTTCGACTTTGCTGAAGAGCCAGAGGCCCGGGAACAATTGAATCCAAGAGCCCAGAAGAGCCAACAAGAGTCTTCAAGTATCTGCGCCAACTTTGCTTGTTGGCATGACACAGTTTGTTGGCAGTTGGGTACCGATAGCGAAAAAAGAGAGAGCGCTGGGGAACCGTCGGAGTGGCTCGGCCATCGGCGTCTGGCTGGCCTTTTGAGACTGGCCTGAAGTGCCCAGAAACTGGCAGAGTCTGAACTGGTTAAAAAAGGGGTCCCTGACTCTCTCTGTGTCTGTGGTGTGTGTGTGTGTGCTATGTGTGTGTCGTCGGATGTGCTGCTGACCAACTCGCATCCCCACACACGTCACTGGTCGTCGCCCCGGACTCAAGCTTCAATTCAATTTCAGATCTGCTCAAAAATCGAGGGGCTCCCCCAGATCTTCTCCATCTTCCCCGGGTTTCAATCATTTCATTGCAGCCTCAACTGGGGGCTCGGAAAGAATTGCAAGTGGCACAAGTGCCATGCCGTCTCCCGAAGCGCCTGATTCGCTAAGTGCCACGACCTGGTGAGTGAGACTCTGCTGATCCACCCGAGGAGGGGCGGGCCTCTCGGGGAAAAACACCTGTTTTGGAGGCGTCAATTTGGAGGCCATTCGCACCGACGGCGACACGGACAGCGGCGCCGCTCACCTTGAGACGCGGGGTGCCGAGCAGATTTCGGCGAGAGATGAAGGCAATGAAGCTCTCGCCGGTGATGGCAAGGTGAAGGAAGCTCAAGGGTCTTCGTCGACGCCGTTGCCATCTGCTGCTCCAGCTGAGAAAGAGTGAGGAAGTCGGTTGCGATGGCTCTGAACTCGGTCTGTGAGAAAAGAGGCAGTTGTGGAGAGAGAGAGCCGGTGGGAGAGAACCGCAAAGTTTGACAGATATATCATGATCGAGGAAGAGGTTGCTGACTGTGTTTGATCCGTGCAGCGAGCAGTGTCGCGAGCAGCACCTGCGATGTGATCGAGTGCTGCCCATCTGCGGGCGGTGCCTGATGACAGGGCGAGAGTGCAAAAAGGGCTACAAGTTTCGCGCCCCCAAGCACGCCGTATTCAGAGAGAGCCACAAGTGGCCTGCGCCGCCAAAGAAGCTCAAGTTCATCGACGAGACTCGCGGTGTCGAGCTCGGCGAGGACCTCGACAGCAACGAGTCCGTTCACGACTCGGCGCCAGACGTTGACGAAGTTGGGACAGAAGCCACAACAGAAGTCGCGTCCACTTCGCCAGGCACGGCTACGGCCGTAGACTCGACAGTCTCTGATGATCAGCGTCGGCCGTCAATATACGCAGCAAAGGCGGCGAGCTGGCCTTTGCCTGGAGACGAGAGCCGGCCCGGCGCCAAAAGCGTCGTTGATGGCGGCGACGTGGTGGACGAGCCCGTCCAACCTCCGCATCGAATATCGTTGAGTACGCCCGGCGCCGACAACCACAGCCAGCACGGTAGCCATCGCGAACATTCTGGCTCCGTCGTGAGTCTGCCGCCGGTGCAGTCGATGTTGCCGCCGTTGGAGGGCATATACACCGATCGACCGATATGGCCTATCCAAGGGCGAAAAGAAGCCACGCTGTTCCGTCATTACGTGGACAAACTTGGATTCTGGGTATGTTGAAATAGCTGCGGGATGGCTTGCTTTTTTGAAGCAACGAAGAAACGACACTGACCGGACCACCAGCTCGATGCGTGTGATCCCTCCAGACATTTCGAGGTCGAAGTACCGCAGCGTGCCGGCTCATGTCCCATCTTGCTCAACGCCATCTTCGCCCTTGCCTCGAGGCATCTGAGCCTGACGAGCGCATACGACTCGCTGGCATCGAACCGGTACCACGAGCAGTGCCTCAACTACTTGATCCCACTGCTGGACCACGCAGGAACGGTGTCGGACGAGAACTTGTTTGCTGCAACAATCATACTTCGCGTGCTGGAAGAAATCGATGTAAACACCCTGGGCCAGGACACGCACGGCCACCTGCTCGGAATTCACGCCTTTGTCAACGCCGGAGACCGATTCCTTATGCCGGGAACTTTGACGGCGGCATGCTTTTGGGCAGGACTGAGGCAGGAGATCTACAGCGCCGTCATCAACCAACAGGTGGTCCGAATGAACCTCGGTCATGCCATTGTCGACCGATCCACCACCCCGGCCGACGACTTTGTCTGGGCAAATCGTGCCATTGTCCACTGCGCCGATGTCCTCAACTTCTGCTTCGGGTCCGAGGCGGGGTCGGTGCTGCAATGGGGCCAGCTCGAAATGGCAAACAGAGAATGGAAGAACGCGCTACCGCCTTCGTATACTCCCATCTTCTTCCGAGAGAGGACAGATGAGGAGGCTTTCCCCGAAGTATGGTACCAGAAGGCTTGTCATAGTGAGTATACCCCTGGTCTGGTCCCGGTCTGGTCTGGCCTGATCTCGGAACTGCTCCCGGACACGGAAAGTATCTCAGATATCCGACGATCCGGAAGGCTGGCTCATGGCCAACCCTCCTCTTCAGGAACCGCTTACTAACAACTCCTTGGTAGTCATCGCTGTCCAACACCACATTCTCGCCGAAATGTACCTCGTGCTGTTCAATCCGAGCATACCACGAGTCGGCGGCGGCCGCAAAGCTGCTGAGAAAAGGCTGACCCAGCAGATTCAGGATCTCCTGCGGAGTCTCTGTGGAATTGGCATGTGCAACCAATGGTCACCGCCGGCCATGTTCACGGCGTGTATGGGTATAGCCATCGGTACGTTTTGCTTTCTTGTTCCTTTCCGGTTCTTCTTTCGTTGCTTTTTTCCTATTTCTGTAGCCTTCAAATTCGAACGTCCTGAACAGTAGACTAATTTGGGCCTCCTCCAGCCGGTGATCGATTCGACACCAAGCATGACCAGGAAGCTCTGCTGAAGATGCTCAGCATCACCGAAAAGGCCCACGCAAGGCCCACGACAGCGGTGCGGGATCAGCTGATGCACGCATGGGGCTGGTTGGACGGGGAAGCAATGAACGAGGATTGAGGAGGAGCACAGGGTGACCGCCCACTCCGCATACCCCAGACCGCAGAGGTTGGGAGAGGCGGGGTTCAGAGACATGCGTAGGCGAACTGGACTGGCAGGCCAGTCGCCGAGAAGATGTTTGATGAAAGCCTCTTCCATTGGATCACGATAATGACTGCTGGCGAGACACGAGAGAGATCGCCTCTCACTAGGATTGGATGTGGATCACAATAGACTTGGTGCATGGGGCTGGACTGGACTGAACTGAACCGGACAGGACTGGATACGTCCCCCGGACTTGGATTTCGCTTGGTTTGCAATCTGTGGATACCCGACTTGATAGTGTAGAAGCGTCATGATGCTGTGTTTGTAGCGGCAGGATCTGGCTGGCCTGGCTTGGCTGGCACAGTAGTATAGCGTACGATGCAGGTTGAAAGCAATCGGACATATTTCGCGTTTCCATCTGCTTGGTTCTTCATTATCCGCGGGTTATCGCTGGCCAACCTGATCTCGAAAGTGTCTGATTTCAAAGATAGTGATGCTCCCGGCCTCCCCGCACACGGCGCACACGGCGTTCCATCCACATGGCGCCCATATACGAATAGATGAGCATCGTCGTGTAATGCCGGCTGGTCTGAGCTTGAAACTGACAGCTGCCGTGGCACATTGGAACACGTAGGGACCATCCAGATCCCGCGGGGTTGTTTGGGAAGCGTGGGGAAGCCAGCAGGTCTTGGCCAAGCTCGCCCTGGATTACCGTCAGGGACGACATTGGGAAGGAGGCCCCGAAGCTGTGACGAAAATTGATGTCAGACATGTTCGTTTTGGGCGAATCGAAGGTTCCGAAGCCAAGAATCTCGGGAGAAGGCCGGGACGGACACCGGGTGACGGTGAGGGGAGAGGTCTGGCAAGGCCTGGGCAAGGGACCACTGGGATGTCCCCTCCGGCAAGTGTTCTATATCCAATCAGTAGGAAGCCATTACTGAAAAGAGGAGAGGAATCCGCGGGGATGGAGATGTCCTGCATTGAGCGGGAATGGCGTTGGTTGGCGTTGGCAGGGGGGCGTCGAGGTCTGCGTGGCAGCCAAGTGCCAAAAGAGGGAATAATCAAAAATAGTCTGCAAATCCCATGATGAAGGCGGCGGGGCCAGAAGGTCTCGTAGGGTCGTGGAGAGGTGGACCGGGGGAAAAGCGATTAAGCTTTGCCGCAGAAAAAGAATCCAAGATTGGCAGAGACGCAAGGGCGCCGTCACATTGCATCGTTTCTGGCCATCCCGGAATGCGGTTGGCGTGGAGTCGTGGAGGTCTGGAGAATAGGTAGGCGAAGCGGGATTGAAGGTGTGGAAGAAGCGTTCGAGCGTTTGCGACTAACAAGGATGGCAGTCGTAAATCTCGGGATTCTTTGCCATTGTCGTCGGGAGTTGACGAGAGGTCAAAACTTTTGGAAATTCCAGCAACTTGCACGAGTCTCCATATGGTCCCAATGAGGATTAGTCAGAAGACTCCGAGGTCATGTGAGGTCATGTGACCGGAGATTCTGGCTGCTTCTGTTCCGGCGAGTGAAGAGTGGGTCCATCTCTGGATCTGGGTGGGGTCCTCTTCCAGCAAGAATTCGGCGATTTTCTCCTCTTCCAACGACGCAAAACTTGGAATCCCCTCGCCGGCCTCGCCTTTCTTCGTCGCAACGTCGCAACTCTCTAGGGCCTCTCCACAGATCTGAAATCTCGCCCCGTCTTTCCTGCTCCATCTGGATCATAACCACTCTCCGCGGGGCATAGTTCTGCACGGGCAAGACAAGGGCCATGCAGATGACGACCCTTCACGGCAAAAACGTCAACTCGGGCTGCTTGTCCAAGTTAGCCTTTTGCCCACACCAGTACGGATGGATACCCGGTGCTGCCATGACGAGGTACTTGGCCCGAATACTGCGTCTGGCGGGCGATACTAGGTACCTCGCCATGTCCGAGTTTTTTCCCGTCCTACTCCTTCGTTACTCTTCTGGCCCTTCGTAATCTTCATCTTCCGTGATCTTGTCTTCAACAACATATTTAAAGACTATCTCCAGATACCTGTTTCTCCCTCTTTTTGCTCATCATCAAACCAGTCTTCAGCATTCGAGTGATACCCCCCTTGGAAAGATCATCACATATCGACTCTTTCTTCATATCGAGCTGTAATCTTTCTTAGACTTTCTGTACCAAACTCTTCTTTTCGACTTTGCAAACTACCGTCACAATGGCTGCTGCTGTCGCCACCCCTTACGTCCGCACCGACGGACACGCCCTCGAGGAGACCACCGACTTTGTCGAGGAGGTCAATATCCTCAAGGACCAGTACAATAAGGCACAGAACGACTTCGAGGGCGAGTCCAAGTTCGACTCAGAGAAGGACAAGACCGCTTTCCGCCAGTACGAGGATGCTTGCGACCGCGTCAAGAACTTTTACAAGGAGCAGCATGAGAAGCAGACCGTCGAGTACAACCTCGCTGCCCGCCAGAAGTTCGCCATCGACCTTACTGGCAAGATCCCCTGCCGCGATGAGATGACCATCTGGGAGGCCATGGAGAAGCTCAACACCCTCATCGACAACTCGGACCCCGACACCGAGCTCTCTCAGATCCAGCACTTGCTCCAGACCGCCGAGGCCATGCGCCGTGACGGCAAGCCCCGCTGGATGCAGCTTACCGGCCTGATCCACGATCTCGGCAAGCTTCTCTTCTTCTACGGAGCCGAGGGCCAGTGGGATGTCGTCGGTGACACCTTCCCCGTCGGATGTGCCTTTGACAACCGCATCGTCCTCCCCACCACCTTTGAGGGCAACCCCGACAACACCCACCCCGTCTACAGCACCAAGAACGGCATCTACGAGCCCGGCTGCGGTATTGAGAACCTCATGATCTCTTGGGGCCACGACGAGTACATGTACACCGTCTGCAAGGAGCAGTCCAAGCTTCCCCGTGAGGCTCTCGCCATGATCCGCTACCACTCCTTCTACCCCTGGCACCGCGAGGGCGCCTACCGCGAGTTCATGAAGGAGGGTGATGAGGACCTCCTCAAGGCCGTGCTTGCCTTCAACCCCTACGACTTGTACAGCAAGTCTGATGATGCCCCCACCGTTGAGGAGCTCAAGGTATGTCTTACTCAATCCTACCCGGATCTAAATTTCATCATGAGACTAACAATTTGATAGCCTTACTACATGGAGCTCATCGATGAGTACTTCCCCACCAAGGTCATCAAGTGGTAGACATGCCCTTTCAGATTGTCATGTTACGACGGGTACGAAATGAGATGGGACCTTTGGCATACACGCCCTGGGACATATGTTCATGTCGCTAGAGGCACGGCGTTTTAATTGGGATACTTGATGATACATTTGAGCGGTCTTTGTGTGCGCGTATGAGATAAAAACATGGCCAGAAGAAGCCTTGAAGAGTCAACTGAAAGTACTCGAGTTCAGGAAGTCTAGAATTCCTTTTAATAGACTAGCGCTCTGAAGAAATTGTTGCAGCGCACAAAGACCCGGACCATGTGATGTTGCCTTCACCTGTCGACTCACTTAGTATAGCCAGGTATCGCGAGCAGCTAATCTTGTCGTGATGCAGGAACTCACAGTTTGTCTGCGTTTCATCACACCCACCCACCCACACCTAGACACAGTCAGCTGCTTCACTCATCTTATGACTCTTATCTTTGGCGGCGTAGATGACAAACGAAACTCATCGTGTCTTTCAACCCCAGAACTTCATCTGACTATCTATTAACGCAAGTGAGATAAAGTTGCTCGAACATTCACCTGATTCTCATCACCCTCTTTTCAATCCGAAATCGAGCTTATTACCGGTGGAGTTGGGTGATCTCCCTCACTAGCGGCAATTAAATAGATCGTACTGTTCTACATATTATGTATCAACACGCTGGTTGTTTGTCAACCCGAACCTTGGCTTGGATTCCTCATCGAACACCTAGGACCGTGGTATTTCTCTCAACGCCAACCCATAGGCGCACCAATTGAATGACTGCTTACGAATCGCCACATCAAGATAACGAGGGACTTCTGATTCGGCCCCCGACTTAAAGCAGTTATCCAATGGCATGATCCCATTGCCCCACCCTCTCAGCGACCGGAGGCCCCGATCATGATCCGTGTCGGTAAGGTCCACATCACCGAGAGCAGGGCCCGCTTACGGAGCCGGTCGGGGCATTTGTCTTTACCCTTACCCCGGATCGTCACATTGAGCAAAACATGCTGTGCGACTTTTCTTTCTTAGGCATAGAAAAGAATCCAGACTTTGCAACTCAGGCAAACTTGAGGCAACTCATCAAGGGAGTGGCAGGTGTTTCTCCCCACATATGCCACATGTCTCGAACTCTTAAATTCACATGATGTGAGGCCAATTTCACTCCAGCCCTGAGGCCAAGTCGTGCGCTTACCAACGACCCACAAACGCACCCACAAGCACACAAAACTGTAGACATCGTGACTCAACAGAGAACGATCCACAAATCCAAAGCCCTAATGAACACCTTGTGCTCTCGCCCTCGACATGAACGAGTACCCATCATCAAGCACAATAGCTCAGGGGTAGAGCGCTGGGCTCATAACCCAGAGGTCCCTGGATCGAAACCAGGTTGTGCTATCATCACTTTTGACTTTTTAATTTCCTAGTTCTCCAGAATCAGAGTGCACTTGCGCTCTCTTTATATCAAGCACTAGTGGTCCATTTCCACGGATCAGACCGACTTCTTTCTCGATTCTTCCAAGATTCAAAGCATAAGGCCATCACTGACTGTGTTTGGACAAACTAGACAATGTGTAAAACTGCCGGCCTGAGAGCCCTCAGAGCACGAGTGAACCATGTTTCTTCAAAACGTTTTGCCTGGTGGTGTTTGCGCCACCACTGACCGTTCTCTAGCCCTTACGAATTGGTTCATCCCATGTTTCCCAACCCACTTGACCAGGTTTGTCGGACTCAAAAGACAGCCGTCCGCTGACCTCATGAAAGCGCAAGCGCGTATTATTCTCTATCACAATGTCATTGGGTCAAACTTGAGCCTCATCTTCGCCGACTTGGCAATAAGCGGTCCCGCAGGCGCGTAAATCTTGGCTGCAGCTTTTACTTAGCTTAAACATCTCAAATACGCACTTCCGCCCGCCACAAATAAATGCCACATCAAAGAAGGCGAACGGGAATTTCCGGAATGCCAGACAACGCTCATCCAACGTATACCAGCACCGCGGTTCACGTCAGATTTGACACCCGCACGTCTCCTTTGCTGAGTCCTCAGGTACGAAAGCAATGTGGCGAGGGAAGAGAAGAAATCGGTTACCCGCCCATCGAACAAAGTCGTTTTAGACGTTTTGGTTCGATCCTCGGGCAGAAGATGAATCCTTCAAAGTTTTCGATGCTCTAACCCTCAGCAGTCCTTCTCATACATCCGCACGGCCAATTTTTCAAGACCGTCGACCGCGCCACATGCGCCGGCCGAGGGTTGGAGGGGCACTGTGCCTAGCTTCGAGCTTCAGCCTGTCTTCTCAGAGGTGAAATGTTCGTGGGGGAAATGAACTGTGAAGCTGAGTAGAGAGAGGACATAGCGGGGCGACAGATGCACCTTGCCGCTTGCCGGTGGCCGAGCGCTCGACATTTTGAGAGGTGACGGCGGTTTTGATACATGATATAGCCACACTGCTCAGACCTTTTTGCTGCCAAACGCAAGATACGCTTTGCTTGCGCAGGGCCAAGACACGGCCGAAGACGACCGCTGCGTTCGACGAATCGACACTATGGGCTGGAGAAAGCACATGAAGGAGCTTGAACAGCGACATGATTGCCACACGGGAAGACGGGGTCTAGGCCGTGGCGACTTTCTCATTTTTGGTAAATCCCGGGGTACGAGCCGTAGGATCTACCGGCTAGGAAATATCATACAGGATCCTCAACCTGGAGCCGCATGATTTGACAATAAGAGAGACGCCGCGAAACATCCAGCGGCGCTTAGAGACGCGCAGCTGACGAAGAGATTGTGGCTTTTCGAGTTTCCTGATGAATCATCATGCAATCGCCAAACGAGACTCCTCCGTCTCAGCAGACGCGCCTGTTTCTTTCTCTGATGCCGATATACCCTTGGTTACAACGGGAAGTCATACGAACCCGAAGGCCGCCCGAGGGCTGCATGGTGGCGGCCGTCTAACCTGAACCCCCATACCTCTCCTCAGATTGCTTCTCGCCTTGCAGCCTGCCTTCAGTCTGAACTGGTCCCCCTCGCATGCCTGTACTCAGCAACCAGGAGAGCGGACCTTGGTTCCGGCTGCCGGGTAGAAGCGAACATGCATTCAGAGTCACCCACCTCGGGCTTGTCTGACACTCGTGATAACCGCCCACTAAGGCGGCCATGGACCCAAAGACCGCTTGGTACCCGGGACCGACTGTCAGGAACTACACACAATCCAATCCAATCCAACCGCAGTAAACTACACACACGCTCACTCCCACTCAGACAGTTCCAAACATCATCCCATCTTACCTTTGCCTTCCCTCCCCAGCCCGAAGATATTGAAACTAACCCGCCGTCTTGGTGCCGCCCGCCTTGGTATAAAGCTATCTGGTTGGTACGTGGGTGTGTCTAGGAACGAGCTCCTTCCTTTCCGCGGCGCAAAATCTAACAGTTTCCTACGTTTCGCGACGCTCGACCTAAAAGGCTAGATCACGGTTCGTCCCCGAACGACAGCACCGTGCCCTCTTTCTTAAGGTTAATCAGGCGGTGGCCAATATCACAGCGCAGGTTTTCTACCTTATCTAAAGGT